TGTTTGAAGTATTTGTCCCTGGTGCTTTCAAAGCATCCAAGACGGCCCGCGAGGCCACCAGGATCGCCCCAGGACGGCCCAATAGGCTCCCTACAAGGCTGGAAGACGGCCCAAGAGAGCCCCAAGAGGCCCTCCAAGAGGGCCTCAAGATGCAGACATGACCCCGAGCCCTTCGGAAAACGCATATGTTTGGATGGTTCGTCTCTGGAGCTTTCAGAGCATCCAAGACGGCCCGCGAGGCCACCAGGATCGCCCCAAGACGGCCCAATCGGCCCCCTACAAGGCTCGAAGACAGCATAAGAGAGCCCCAAGAGGCCCTCCAACAGGGCCTCATGATGCAGACATGACCCCCAGCCCTTCGGAAAATGTATATGTTTGAAAGGTTCGTCTCTGGAGCTTTCAGAGCATCCAAGACGGCCCGCGAGGCCACCAGGATCGCCCCTAAGACGGCCCATTCGGCTCCCTACAAGGCTCGAAGACGGCCCAAGAGAGCTTCAAGAGGCCCTCCAAGGGGGCCTCAAGATGCAAACATGACCCCCAGCCCTTTCGGAAAACGTTTCTGTTTGAAATTTTCGTTTCTGGAGCGTTCAGAGCATCCAAAACTGCCCGCGAGGCCACCAGGATCGCCCCAAGACGGCCCTATAGGCTCCCAACAAGGCCCGAATACGGCCTAAGAGAGCCCCAAGAGGCCCTCCAAGAGGGCCTCAAGATGCAAACATAACCCCCAGCCCTTCGGAAAACGTATATGTTTGAAGTATTCGTCCCTGGTGCTTTCAGAGCATCCAAGACGGCCCGCGAGGCCACCAGAATCGCCCCAAGACGGCCCAATAGGCTCCCTACAAGGCTCGGGGACGGCCTAAGGGAGCCCCAAGAGGCCCTTCAAGGGGGCCTCAATATGCAGACATGACCCCCAGCCCTTCGGAAAACGTATGTTGTTTGACAGATTCGTCTCTGGAGCGTTCAGAGCATCCAAGATGGCCCGCGAGGCCACCAGGATCGCCCCAAGGCGGCCCACTAGGCTGCCTACAAGGCTCGAAGACGGCCTAAGAGAGCCCCAAGAGGCCCTCCAAGAGGGCCTCAAGATGCAAACATGACCCCCAGCCCTTCGGAAAACGTATACGTTTGAAGCATTCGTCCTCGGTGCTTTCAGCGTATCCAAGACGGCCCGCGAGGCCACCAAGATCGCCCCAAGACGGCCCAATAGGTTCCGTACAAGGAGGACGGCTTAAGAGAGCCCCAAGGGGCCCCCCGAGGGGGCCTCACGATGCAAACATGACCCCCAGCCTTTCGGAAAACGAATATGTTTGAAAGGTTAGCCCCTGGAGTTTTCCGGGCATCCAAGACGGCCCGCGGGCCCGCCAAGATCGCCCCAAGACGGCCCAGAATGCTCCCTACATGGCTCGACGACGGCCTAAGAGAGCCCCAAGAGGCCCTCCAAGAGGGCCCAAGATGCAAACATGACCCCCAGCCCTTCTGAAAATGTATACCTTTGACATATTCGTCTCTGGAGCTTTCAGAGCATCCAAGACGGCCCGCGAGGCCACCAGGATCGCCCCAGGACGGCCCAATCGGCTTCCTACAAGGCTCGACGACTGCCTAAGAGAGCCCCAAGAGGCCTTCAAGAGCGCTTCAAGATGCAAACATGACCCCCAGCCCTTTGGAAAACGTATCTGTTTGAAAGATTCGTCTCTGGAGCTTTCAGAGCATCCAAGACGGCCCGCGAGGCCGCCAAGATCGCCCCAAGACTGCCCAATAGGCTCCCTACAAGGCTCGAGGACGGCCTAAGAGAGCCCAAGAGGCCCTCCAAAAGGACCTCAAGATGCAAACGTGACCCCCAGCCCTTCGGAAAATCTATATGTGTGAAAGATTCGTCTCTGGAGCCTTCAGGGCATCCAAGACGGCCCGCGAGGCCACCAAGATCGCCCCGGGATGTCCAAACAGGCTCCCTACAAGGCTCGAGGACGGCCTAAGAGAGCCCAAGAGGCCCTCCAAAAGGACCTCAAGATGCAAACATGCGCCCCATCCCTTCGGAAAACGTATATGTTTGAAAGATTCGTTCTTGAAGCTCTCAAGGCATCCAAGACTGCCCGCGAGGCCACCAGGATCGCCCCAAGACGGCCCAATCGGCTCCCTACAAGGCTCGGAGAAGACTGCCTACGAGAGCCCCACGAGGCCCTCCAAGAAGGCCTCAAGATGCAAACATGACCCCCAGCCCTTCTGAAAACGTATAGGTTTGACATATTCGTCTCTGGAGCTTTCAGAGCATCCAAGACGGCCCGCGAGGCCACCAGGATCGCCCCACGACGGCCCAATTGGCTCACTACAAGGCTCGAAGACGGCCTAAGGGAGCCCCAAGAGGCCCTCCAAGAGGGCCTCAAGATGCAAACATGACCGACATCCCTTCGGACGACGTATATGTTTGACATATTCGTCTCTGGAGCTTTCAGAGCATCCTAGACGGCCCGCGAGGCAACCAGGAGCGCCCCAAGACGGCCCAATAGGCTGCCTACAAGGCTCGAAGACGCCCTGAGAGAGCCCCGAGAGGCCTTCCAAGAGGGCCTCAAGATGCAGACATGACCCCCAGCCCTTCGGAAAAAGTAAATGTTTGAAAGGTTAGCCCCTGGAGTTTTCCGGGTATCCAAGACGGCCCGCGGGCCCACCAAGATCGCCCCAAGACGGCCCAAAATGCTCCCTACAAGGCTCGGGAAACGTATATGTTTAAAGCATTCGTCTCTGGAGCTTTCAAAGCATCCAAGACGGCCCGCGAGGCCGCCAGGATCGCTGGACGGCCCAACAGGCCCCCTACAAGGCTCGAAGACGGCCCAAGAGAGCCCCAAGAGGCCCTCCAAGAGGACATCAAGATGCAAACCTGACCCCCATTCCTTCGGAACGCCTACATGTTTGAAGTATTCGTCTCTGGAGCATCCAAGACGGACCGCGAGGCCACCAAGATCGCCCCAAGACGGCCCAATAGGCGCCCTATAAGGCTCGAGTACGGCCTAAGAGAGCCCCAAGAGGCCCTCCAAGAGGGCCTCAAGATGCAAACATGACCCCCAGCCCTGTGGAAAACATATATGTTTGAAAGATTCGTGTCTGCTCTCAGAGCATCCAGGACGGCCCGCGAGGCCACCAAGATCGCGCCACGACGGCCCAGTAGGCTCCCTACAAGGCTCGAAGGCGGTCTAAGAGAGCCCCAAGAGGCCCTCCAAGAGGGCTTCAAGATGCAAACATGACCCCCATCCCTTCGGAAAGCGTATATGTTTGACAGATTCGTCTCTGGAGCTTTCAGAGCATCCAAGACGGCCCGCGAGGCCACCAGGACCGCCCCAAGACGGCCCAATAGGCTCACTACAAGGCTCGAGGACGGCCTAAGAGAGCCCCTAGAGGCCCTCCAAGAGCGCCTCAAGATGCAAACGTGCCCCCCGTCCCTTCGGAAAGCGTATATGTTTGACATATTCGTCTGTGGAGCTTTCAGAGCATCCAAGACGGCCCGCGAGGCCACCAGGATCGCCCCAGGACGGCCCAATCGGCTCCCTACAAGGCTCGAAGGCGGCCTAAGAGAGCCCCACGAGGCCCCCCCAACAGGGCCTCAAGATGCAAACCTGACCCCCATTCCTTCGGAAAACGTATATGTTTGAAAGATTCGTCTCTGGAGCTTTCAGAGCATCCAAGACGGCCCGCGAGGCCACCAGGACCGCCCCAAGACGGCCCAATAGGCTCACTATAAGGCTTGAAGACGGCCTAAGAGAGCCCCAACCGGCCCTCAAGGAGACCCCATCCCTTCAGAAAACTTATATGTTTGTAAGATCCTTCTCCAACACGGCGTGTCGTTCCGAATGAGGTGCGTGAGAATGTGGAGCGTAGGGTTGCAGGGGCTTCCGACGAGACGGGGGCGACCTCGTGCCACGGGATGTGGAACAAAGGATGGAAAATGCAAGAACGACATTAAGTGTGGATGGTGACGAAGGGAGACAATTGAGCGATGTCCAATGGCGGGAAGAGGCCAACATTTTCGCCGCGAGATCCATCAAAGGGGCCGGAGAGGGCAGATACAGTGAGCCGCTCGTCTAGGCAAGACGGCGGGTCCAATTTCAAGATTTGGGTGTTGTCCCTTGTCCAACTTGCCCCAGGAGTCCTCGGCTCCATTGGACTCGAGGGACCGGCTGGTTGGACAGTCCTCTCCAAGAGAGCGCAGGGCGCCAGCCTCTGAGCAGGCCCTGCAATTGCCGCAGAGAATCGTGGCACCATGGGATTAGTTTGCCACGTGCAAGCGGTGCCCCTGCGAATCAGCTACTGCAGCAGAAAAGGCGGAATTGAACACAGGGCAAGGGGTTGCATCTGGCGCAGGTTGGCGCTCACTACTGGCAAATCTTAAACAGCGCTGGCACGCCCAGCCGCGGGGCACGTGGCGCCAGGTGGGCGGCGGGGCAAGAGGAGGTGGGAGAGGGAGCGCCTGACGGGCAGCCCCTTTGACCGTGGCGAGACCAGAGGCTTCCAGCCGTCCATCATTGAGGCAATTCGGAAGCAGCAGCGGAGGGGGAGGTTGTCAGCCGTTGAGGGTCGAGAGGTGGAACCCCTTGAGACCCCTCGGACAGCCACTCGAGAGCTCTCCTAACCTTCGCGCCGCACGGCCACTCTTTCTCGTCGTTGGCGTTGAACCGGGGGTGACAGGACATATCAGGAATGGTAAGGAGGAGGAGGAGGAGGAGGAGGAGGAGGAGGGTCGAGGTTCCGCCTCTTTTGGAATGGCGAGAAAAGTTCGTATTCCAATCAGTTCTGTCGTCCACATGGTTTTGACTGCCAGACGTTGTTTGTTCCCTCAGGAGGGTAATTTTCAGAAAATCTTGGCATCCAGCGCCCAGTGAACGTTTGGTCTCTGGGATGGCGCGTTCTGATTTCATCTCTTGCTGAGGAGTCGTAGCCATGCGGCATCATTGGCACTTGCATATTTTGTCCCCACAGATATGTCCCCCATCCGGCATGCCGTTCACTTCCCACAGGTGGCCGAGGTTGCGAAGCGGCACGTCGACCACACCCTCCACAACGTCGAGGCGATAGGGCAGTGCCACCAGAAAGTTGAATCATGCTGGTCATTGCAGAAGCACTGCGAGCTAAGCTTGTTGTGTTGTTGTGACTGGTGTGTGTGTGTGTGCGTGTGTGTGTGTGTGTTTGTGTGTGCGTGTTTCGATGGTGGGTTTGTACGGTGTGTGCGTGTGCGTGTGAAGGAGGAGGAGGAGGAGGAGGGGAGGAGGAGAGAGACAGAGAGATATTCTGTCGAGCTGATTAGATGCCAAGCAGAGCCCCGGGCTTCTGATGCTCTCATCATGGGGCCACCGGGTCTCGTTGTGAGCACTTCGTGCGCGCGCCTGGCTCTCGAACCAGAAGTAATTGGCGGAACGAGAGGAGGAGGAGCAGGAGGAGGAGGAGGAGGAGGGGGAGGTTGCATCTGAGACCTGGAAAAGGACACACCAACACTTGTTAGCCTACCCTGCAATCGCCTCGTGCTGCAGTCTCGTGGTTCGGCGGTTTTGGTCGTGCGGTCTGCGCTCCCAGCTGCCTCCCCAGCCGAGCGTGAGTCGTTCTCGCGGCTGGATGCTCCTAGCGCCTAGCGACCTCACAGAGTGAGCTTTCTGCACGTGGATCGGAGGCTGGCAGTTGATGCCCGCTCAGATAGCTGATCGCAAATGTGGAGCCACATCGCCGTCGGAGGAGGAACAGGCGTGTGTTCTTGTGTGTGTGCCTGCACGTGGATCGGAGGCTGATCGCACATGTGGAGCCACATCGCCGACAGAGGAGGAATGTGTGTGTGTGTTCTTGTGTGTAGGGGGGGCGGTCTTCCGCGCACGGGCTAGACAGCGAGGCGCTGCGCCTGCCCGCGACGATTGAAAGTGTATATGTGTGTGTGCGCGTGCGTGTTTATCTCGTCGTTCTTTTGTCTGCCCTTCCATCAGGTGCCGTTCCGCTCGCGCTCGCTAGTCTCGCGCAGCCCCCACTTCTGGAACGCCTGGTGGGAGTCAACCTGTGCGGGTGGTCTTCTGGACCCCCGCTTCGCCCCATCCCCCTTCAGCCGCGGCGTCCCTCGGCTCCCCGCCGGCTTCGAAGGGAGAGGCGCCTCCCGCCCCGCCCGGGCCTCCCTGCGAGGCGGTGGACGCCGACATGAGGCGGGGCCTCCCAGCCCCCGCCGCGGCCACGTCCGTCATCCTGACGAAGCCGCAGGCCGCGGCGGCAGGGCGTGGTCAGGACGAGGAAAAAACGGTCCCAGAGCGTTTCGGAACGCTCTCAGGGCGTCCCGGAACGCTCTGAGAAGGCCGCGGCGCCCGAGACATTTTCCAGAGCCGCGGGATCTCAGAATTCTCTATTTGTTTTTTTGTCCTGGCTTCGTCTTAGCGGGGGAGGGCGAGTCGCCAAGAGGGAAAGGGGTTCTGAGGGAAGCGAACCTGGAGCTCTTTCGCCGCGTTTGGGCTCTGAGGGTGTGCTCGGGCCCCGTGGCCTTCTAGAAATCGGCTCGGGATGAAGACCTGGTTCTGGCTCCGCCGCAGCGCTGCCGGGCGGCCCCCGCCTCGGCCCCCGCGGTTGCGCCTCCCCCTGCCGCTGCACCCGCAGGCGGCCAGGGGCTCGCGGGCGGCGGCTGTGCCGGTGACGGCGGTGCGGCCCCATGTGGCACTCCGGTAGCGCTCGCTCCTCTCGGCGGCAGTGTCGCAGTGCAGTCTGGCGGGCTTGGTTTTGGTGCTGGCCCTGTTGCTGACCGGCTCTTCTCGATGCTGGAGGGCATCAGCTCGAACATGGTGACCCGCGGCGACTTCCAGGGCTACATTGCTACCGCGGACGCGCGAGCCGCCCAGCTCACCAAGCGCCTTGACGACCTCGAGCTCAAGATGAACTCCTTCGAGCAGGCGGAGAACGCGGCGCTGATGGCTGCGCTCGACGGGCGGGTTGCCGCGCTCCGCTCTGAGCTGCTGGAGTGTGCCCCAGTCTCACGAGACCCGTACGGATCCGAAGAGGACGTCCGTCCGCCGCAGTTCACGGCGCTGGAGGCGCAGGTGAGGGACCTGTCGGCGGCGGTGCAGGCCTTGCAGCAGCCGCCGACGCAGCCGCCCCTGTCGGCGTGGGCCCGTTTTTCGCCGGGCGCTGCGCGCTCCTCTGGCTCCGGCCGCGGTGGTCCTGCCAGGCTTGCTGGCGAGGCGGCCGAAGCCGACAAGTCCAAGCTGTGGATCGGCGGATTCCCGCGGCGCATGCTGGAGCGCGTCCTAACCGCGCACGGCAAGGCCCTCCTGGCCGCCCTCCCGCAGCACATCGCTGCCAAGGCCTACCCAATAGCGAAAAACCTGAACCAGGCCTACGCCCTGCAGTTCGACTCCATCGAGCAAGCCAGGGACGCGCTCGACCAGTTTAAGATGCGCGGGATCACGTGGACTGACCCTCGCAGCCAGCACGTCCTGCCGCTACGTGCGAAGATGGATGCCTCCACGGCGGTGCGTGCCAAGCAGCTGCTGCTGGGTAGGCTCTGGCAGCAGGTGCACGCCTACATGAAGCAGCAGAGCACCTGGAAGGAGGACTACATCATGGGCTCCAACGGCCCCAAGGGCATGCTCTTCATCACCCAGGACGACGACGTCGAGATCCTCGCCACGGTGATCGAGGACACTGGAGGCGCCAAGCATCTGGACATGGACTTCGAGAACCTCGCCAAGTTCGGCATCTCCCGTGACAAGGCGCTGGAGTTCGCTCGAATGGCGGAGCCCTGATGGTCTCCACCGCAGTCGGACGCTGCTGACGACGACGGCAGCCTTCACCGGCACCTTTGGCCTGTTGACGATGGCCTTGCTGCTTCTCTGGGTGCCCATCCTGAGCGTGCTTCAGACGTGGCGTCTTCATCCTGCTCTCCGCTGTCTTCTGCTACTCTTTCTCTGTCGGCAGGTGCGTCTTTCGACAACTATGGTGACGACCAGCAGGGGGTGCTGGGAGTTGCTGGGGATGCTGCTCGCGCCTGTGTGGGGCGCGACCCGCGTTCGGGATCGTCGTTGTCTTCTTCGGGCTCGTCCTCGTCCTGCGGGTGCTCTTCGTCCAGTTCATTTTCTCCGAATTCATCTTCTGATGGGAGTTCCGAGGCGTCTATAGCTGTTTATTCGGATGCCAAGCCTTTCGAGATCAAGGCTCACCTCTCGACTGCTAGCTGTAATGCTCACTGCCTGTTCAACCGCCTCCACTCCAACCACCCCCTGAACGCTCTCAAGACTGCCAAACTCAAACATATGATTACACAGCATCACGTAGTCCTTGTGCAAGAGACGCGTGGCACACAATATGACCTCTCCCTTCTCTCCAAGGAGGTTGCTGGACTTCGGGCTTTCGGTACTTTTGTCTCTGGCGAGGCGGCTGGCGGTTGCCTCATACTCGTGTCCCCTACGCCGGCACAAAGGTCCATGCTTTTCGACATCGCTTTATCAGCCCTGGGAGAGCGCACTGTCTCACCATGTCTGGCCCTGAAGGCGTGCTCCGGGTCATAAATCTACACGATAATCCCGACAGGACCATCAATCAGCAGTTCGACTTCTTTCTCTCTGCCTCTCGTTGGCTCTTGCCCCCCTCGCGGGCGACGCGCGTTCTTGGCGGGGACTTCAATTATTGCTGCGAGGGGGAGGGGCGCCAGCATCTGTCGGGGCATGTCTCTATGCACCCTCACCGTCTCGCTGCCCGGTGCGCTAGATTGTTTGCTGGGCTTGCCGAGATCGCCCAAGATCAGCCGACGCATCGAGTGGTGCAGGATGGCGCTCTGGTTTCGCTCGCTCGTCTTGATCGCATCTTGGTCAATCTCTGCAGCGCCGACCCCCTGAGCCTCAACCCGAATAGTATAGTCTTGGGAACACTGCGGCCGATCTATCGGAGCTTTCTGACCATGTCCCTGTTTGCATTTCGCTGTCGCTTACTTCTCGGCCTGCGGAGTTCCGGGTTCCCAGCTGGGTCAGCAAACACCCCTGGTTTCGGGAGGCCCGCGACGACGTTTTTGCCGATCTCGACGTTCCCGAAGATCTCGACGAGCGCCAGGCGGTCACGAAAGACGCCCTGAAGCTAGCTGCAAAGATGACTCTGCGTCGCCTGGAAGCCAGGGGGGCCGAGTCGGACGCCGAGCTGATTTCGTGGAGCATGGCCCTTCTTCGCGCGATGCGCAACGGGCGTGCCGATCTTATATCTCGTGCTCTTCGTGCTTGTCCTGATTTGGAGGAGTTTGTCGATCGGGAGTCGATGTTGTGGGTCGACCTGCCTGGGTTCCACAGGTCCCTGGGCTTTCTGCAAACTCGCCAGCTCGAGGCCCGACTCCGCGAGATAGACGTTGACCCCGATATTCCTCCTCAGCGTAAGGCCGCTCAGCGCATGCGGCTGTGCGAGTACTGTTATGCCTGGCGCGCGTCTTCTTCTCGTCGGGTTTCGCTTGCCGGCCTGGCCGATCCAACCGGCGAAAAGATTACATATTCACAGGCGGTGTGTAGCCGCCTTGCCCAACATTGGGGGGAAGTGCATGCTGCTTGTGCCTGCGACCCTGACGCCCTATTGGAGTTGGCACCCTTCGTTCAGCGCGCCCCGCAAAATGTCGAATGGGAGTTTTGCTACGACGACTTCGCGTCATGCTTCGCTAAGTTGAAGGACGCCGCTGCGGGCCCCGACGGGCTCCCTTATTCACGTTGGATTCGGAGTGGGCCCACTGGTGTGGAATCTTTGCATCTCGTCTATCAGCGTCTGTTTCGAGGTCTGGCCCCTGATCGTTTTAATGGCGCCATTGCGGTCTTCCTGGCTAAAGGGCCCCTTCCCGAAGATACGCTGGGTTTGCCTTTTCGCACCGAGGATGCTACGCGGCCCATCTGCTTATCAAACTCTGACAACAAGCTGATATCGATCGCCCTTAACAGGACCCTCAAGTATATATGTCAGGTCTGCGTCGTCGACTGGCAAAGGGGGTTTGCGCCGAAGCGTTCGGGGGCCTGCAACATTATCGAGTTGGAGGGGCGGGTCTTGTCATGGTTGGCGCAATTGTGCCACTCGAGGGCAGGCTTCGTCTTCTACGACATACGCGCGGCGTTCCCGCCCCTCCTCCACGACCTTATCCATTGGGTGCTCGACCTCATGGGTTTCCCTCGTCAGTTTCGTCTCGCGGTGAGGGCCTTCTATAGAGATATTTGGATCCAGGTTTCATTCGGCGGCGCTTCCGGAGCTGGTTTTTGGGCCCTCCGAGGCATCAAACAAGGTTGCCCCCTCAGTGGCAGTATTTTCGCCTTGGCTTTCGACCCCATCTTGCGCATGCTTGGGCCCCGCCTTCCCCGTGGCTTGGCCACCCCTGGAGCTTTCGCGGATGATGCGGGCATCGGGGGGGCCGACGTGATGCAGCGCCCCCGTCTTCGTGATTGCTGCGAAAGCGGCGGGGTTGTTTTTAAAAGTGCAAGGTGTCCAAGTCGCCATGCTTTCCTGCCCGATTCGCGCCGAGTTTAATGCGCAATTGCATCTTCGGGGCCTTTTCGCTTGGGTCTTGCATCCTTGCTGCCTTCGGCCAGTATCTCGGCGTGTCCTTGGGCATAGGCGGCGACCAGACCAGCTGGATCGCGCCCGGCGCCAAGTGCCTCCATCGCGCCAGGAACATTCGCACGCTTGGCCTCGGTCTCACTCGCAGCGTCGCTTGTTACAACGTGTTTGCTTTCTCCACCCTGATGTATGTTGGCCAGTTCTATCGCCCCAGTGGCCACATGTTGCGGGTTGAAGCATCTGCCCATCAGGTCTTATGCGCAGCCCCGCGCAATGCCCTCTCGTCTGGCCTCCTCTTTTCCCTCTCGCAGGTTGGTTTTCCCGTCGAGGCCCGGAGGCTTTGGAGGGAGGCCCGGGCTGCCCAATTCAGATGCGCGGCCGCCTCGCCCGCATTCCATCGGATCAGGACTCTCATTGCGTCGGTGGCTGATGACCCTGAGTGCCTTGTAACATTCCGGGCGAACCCCTGGTTCCAGAGCTCCATTTACTCGCGCATGGAATCCTCGTATACTAGCCTGTCTGCTCTTTGTGGCGCTCCGACTCCCCCAACTGTCGGGCTTCAGAATGCCACGACAAAGCACCTTAAGCAGCATGAGGGTCTGGAGGCAGCCGCCACCATCGGCAGGCGCATTCGGAAGTATATGCCCTGTACCGACAGCATGCTGAATAGCCTTGTCTCGTCACTCGCTCTGATTGCCAAGCAGGTGCCTCCGTGTGTCATGGCCTCCACCCTTCGCACCCTTGTCAATGGATGGTGCTGTTCTGGTCGGTTTTCGGAGCCTCTGAAACCATGCCTCTTCTGCGGTGCGCCCCGGCAGGATGGGCTCGCACACTATGTCATGTGCCCCGCGATTTGCCAGTTTGTCTTCCCCCTTCTTCCTCGGCTTCCTCCCTCGTTTGTCTCTTGTCTCGGCCTCGTCCGTCGCTGCTTCGCCCCGTTCCTGCCTCTGCCGTTGCCTCAGCTCGTCCTATCGCTGTTTATTACGATCTCACTTGCACGTGCTACCACAGCTTCCGCCACGCTGGGGGGTTGAGGGGGGCCCGCCTGGGGTCGGCAGCCAGAGCTCGACTGTCGCAGCTTTTCAGGAAGGCGCCCGCCCTCTCGGATCTGGCCCAGTAACCCCCTAGCTCAGTGTGGCGGGGGGCGGGGGCAAGCATTGACTTTAATTTTTGCTCGTCTTTGAGTAAATATGCTGCTCTCCGCATCCTCTCTTTTGCCGCTGCCGCCGCCGCACAATAATTATAGCGTGTACCTTACAGGTGGCCAGACGCCGTCGGCGGGAGCAAAGTCGAGTTCCGAGAAATCCTCCAGACGCCGTCGGCGGGAGCAAAGTCGAGTTCCGAGGAATCTTTGGGCTTGAGTCAGAGGGCTTGTGTGCTATAGTAGTGTAATACCCTGGGATGCCCGGATACTCTAATGCAAGAGTTGCTCTCTCTATTGCGTGGTGGTCTTCGTCATCGCGCGGGAAAGCCTCCTTGAGGGGCGCGGATTTCTCTTGCCCCTGGACGGGCGGCGTTCTTCGCTTTCGTGCTCTTGTCCGCCATTCTTTCTCGGCAGTGGCGCTCCTCCTCCTCCTCCTGCGTGAGTTCGGGATGCTGCCGCGCGCCGCAGACGCATCCGGCGAGATGTTCTTTTCTGTTTCGTCCCCCCGCCCACCCACCGCGCCCCGCCCTCCGCCTCTTCTCCAGCCCTGGGAAGGGGTTCGCCGCGCCACCAGTCCGACAGATCCCCGCCGCGCCAGCGGTCCCAACTGAGCAGGAGCGGTGTGCGCTGCACTCGTTGGAGCCGTTTCTCACGGGGCTCTTTCCCCTCTCCCCTCCTCCCCTTTCCTATCCATCTCCCCTTCTCCTCCTCTCCTCCCCCTCCTCCCCCCCCATCCCCCTGCGTAGCCATTCTCGCACCAGTTCGACACGTGCGACCGTGGCGGTTCGAGCTCGGACGCAGCCGAAGGGTGGTCCAAGCGCACACTTTGAGGTTCGGCCACACAACCCAGTTGTGCGCCAAAGCGCGCGTCATTTCGGCATTTTGCCCTGCGATGTGGCGACGTGCTCCGAAAAAAAAAAATCGCCTCCACGGGAACGGTCAATCCAGCTCTTCCATTCACCGTGTGAGCCGAGGAGAACGCGTCGTGGGCAGAGTAGACGTGATACACGTGAGAGCTCCAGTGTGCGTGAGATACCTTCGGGCAGCGGAAGCCGCAGCCGTTCCAACGTCGAGGACGAGGAGAAGGATAACTCTCAGGATGGTTTCACGTCCGTTGTCGACTGCACGATCTGCCACCCCAGCCTCCATTCTTGTGCTCAATGAGGCGCTGTCAGCCTTCTCGTCTTAACTCGGCGCTCAGATGGCAGCTCAGGTCCAGTCGTCACAGTCACACATCATGTAGAAGCTTGCCAAGGACAGCGGAAGGTTATGCGAGGATGGCCACAATCGAGACCAAACCCGAGCCGATTCAGACGATGCCTTGCGACGGTGCTGCTCAGTCTGCTGCTGATGCGGATGGTGCTCCACGTCAGGATCCGTTGGCCGTGTTCCATGATTCCAGCAAGGCATCCCAGCTCGAGAACGAGGTCAATAACCTTGCCAAGGATATCGGGCATACCACGAAAGGCGCATGTGGCTTTGGAACGAGCTCTGCGAGTTCTGGTTCCCCCTCCGCGGGCCCATCTCCAGGCGCCGTGCCCATCAACGAAATTCAGAGATG